TGTTGGTTTTATGTTTCTTGGACTCCTTCCTTGTTCTGTGATCCTGCTTCCCCATTCATATTTCTATTAATGTTTAGCCTAACTCGGGGGGAGTACGGGGGTTGGCAAACTCTGGCCAGTCAGCTGCCTGGATTTGTAAATAAAATGTTACTGGAACACGGCCATGCCCTTCCGCTTACATAGGGTCTACGGCTGCTTCGAGTTACAGTGGCAGAACGGAGTAGTTGTGACAGGGATGTGTGGCCCCAAACTCTAAAATATTTACTACCTTTACAGAAAAAAAGTTTCCAGCCTGTTGCCTAACTAATCCAGGTTAAAGTACAAAAGGTGAAATTTTGTGTTTGAGCCTGGCCCTTTTCAGGTAAGGCTGTAAGTACTAGTCAATAATTTGAGTGTGGTTAAAGCTGACCCGGGCACATGGACTTTGGGGGACTTTCCCTGGCTCCTCCCTCTGCTGAGAGCCCTCAGCACCCAGTCCTGTGTAATTGTTCTCCACATCACATCATTAGATTCTTCCACTTGTTAATTTATTTGTGCGCTGGTTTATGATCTACATTTCCCCCTCTGCATTGTAAACTTGGCGGCAAGAAGCTCAGTTCGCCTCAACTCCCCAAGCAGTGGCTGGCAACAGGCGGGATTAAAATATTAGCTGAATGAAGGAAAGAAGACAAGGGAGGGAAGGAGGGAAAGAGGGAGGGAGGGAGAGAGGGAGAGAGAAAGAGAGAGAGAGAAAGAGAAGCTTTTTCAGGCTTCTTTGCTTCTCCTTTTGTCCTTACAGAAACATGGACCACCCTGGTTTATTCTCATTCCCTGTCTGACTGCTCCCCAGGCTGAGGTCAGAACTGTTCTTTCTGGTCCCTATTCTTTCTAGAACTAAGAGCGGATTTACTCCCCACTTCCCCTATTCCTCACCCCAGCCTCCCCACACCGCGGGGACCTCGTTCCTGTTTGGCTGCTTCGCCAAGCTGCCCACTGCTGTCCTGGGCATGAATCGAGCGGGGCCTGTGGGTGGCAGGTCCGGCAGTGGTGGGAGCTGAGGGGCACAGGCGGGGGTGGGGGGCAGTGAGGAGAGGTCAGCAGGTGGTGCAAGGAGGCAGGGCTGTGCTTCCTCCCAGGGAAGCTGTCTGCCAGCCACAAGCAGCATTCATTTCACAAGTGGCATGAGTTACTCTTAACAGTTTGTCCTCGCTGCTAATTCCCATGTGATGATAAATGTGAACATTACTCAGTGATCATGACCGCAAGGGAGCAGCTCACCCACATCTGCTGTGGAGCATTCGTGTCTGTCACACACCAGGGATTGCATGTCGGGCCTGGGTGTTCCCATGATGGTCAATGGCAGCTTCAAGGATGGCTGCGGGGCTGTAGAAGGTGCCTTTGATCCCTGCCCCATAGTTTCAATGCCCCCGAAGTCACCCTGATAAACATACAGTGAAGTAAAGACGGCGAGGTGCTAAGCAATGGTGGCTTCAGGACAAGTGCCTGGCCTCACTTTTGACCCGATGGCCACCGGTCCCTCTTACATAGACACTGGCTGTGGTGCCCACTTTCCAGATGAGGGAACAGGCTCAGAGAGGAGAGTCACCCAGTCTAGTCAGAGCGGCTAAGTGACAAGATCAAGATTCACAGTGGAGATTTTTCCAAGCCCCACTCTCATTTCATAATCCAATATAGTTAAGAATAAATTCTCAGAAGAGCTCAAATTCTTGTTTTAAAAAATATTTTTATTGATTTCAGAGAGAGAGAGAGAAACATCAATAATGAGAGAAAATCATTGATTGGCTGCCCCCTGCACACCCCACATTGGAGATCGAGCCTACAACCTGGGCATGTGCCCTGACCAGGAATTGAACTGTGACCTTTTGGTTTATAGGTCGATGCTCAACCCTGAGCCCCACCAAATTCTTAACTTTAAAAAAATCAGAGCCACTCTTCTAAATAACCCTAGTATCAGAGGAAAAAGTCAACACTGAAATGGCCAATCACCTAGACTGGAAAGCAGACACTGTTCATCCAAAGCATAGCAGATGCAGCAAACATGTCCACGGGGGAAATCCAGAGCCTACAAACTTCTAATGTTTAAAAAAAAAAGAAAAACAAATGAATTCAGTATTTAATTTAAAAATAAATATATATATATATTAAAGTAAGAGTAAGAAATTAAAGGTTAGGAGAAACTAAGATGGCGGCATAGATAAACACCGGGAAATTGCTGCTTCCCACAACAATCGATAAATGCATCAAAAACACAAGGTGGACACCATCCAGAACTACAGGAGGGCTGGCTGAGTGTAAATTCTACAACTAGAAGGAAAGAAAAGCACACTGCGAGCGGGAGGAGCTGCGGAGGTGGCGTGCAGAGGTACGGGGGCTCGCGCGCGCGGAAAGGGTCTGGCACCTGAGGACGCGGCTGTCTTTTTGAATCCGGAGGGAGACACAAGCTCCCGACGGCTCTGAAATCCGGTTCCGGGAAGTCTCTGGGGACCCAGGACTCATACGGGGAGAAACTGGACTGTCTGGCAGCGGGCGAGCTTGAGAGCGGCTTTCCCTCAGAGGTGCTTGCAGCCATTGCCGGGACACTGGGACTCGCGACTCCTTAGGGCAGGGCTGAGGCTCCGCCATAGCTGCTTTCTCCGCCCTTTGATTTCTTGAGACCCCGCCCCGCCCAGGCTGCTGCAGAGGCTTTTGCATATGAATGCCCCGGCCATTTGCAACCTGTAATTACCTAACCGCAGCCGGGCCAGATAGACCCAGAGCTTCCAAGAGAAGGCCCAAGGCCCCACAGCGGCTTGCATTCCTACACAGCTGAGCATCATCAGGGCACTTCCAAACTCCAAAAAAAAGGAAGGGGAATCTGCAGTTCTCTTCGTAGTTCCTGCTGTGTAACCTCAGGCAGAGGCTAAATTAGCACCTCCTTAGATCCAAGAGCCACTGTACCCAGTGGTCAGAGGGGGACCATCCAGATCATAACTCCTCAGATCCATAAGGGACACACTCAGGGTGCAGTCTCAGTGAGCACCAAAGCCCCACTGAAGCAAGTCTTGCCCCAGAAGGGTGTCTCCAGCACAGAAGTTCTCCCACTGCAGCCACAGCTGATTCTCGCTGCCAATTGCCCTGGAGGTCAATTCCTCCCAGTGATCCTACAACAACCAAGGCACAGCTACAACAAGACTGTGCACAAAGCCCGCGAGGGGGTGCACCAAGAGTGTCCACCTCAGGTAACTGGGGAGGCTGAGCCACTGGGCCCTACAGGACACCTAGCACACAAAGCCACTCTATCAACACAGGGAAGCAGCCAAAATGCGGAGACAAAGAAACAGGTCACAAATGGCAGAAATGGAGGAAAGCAAACGACTGGATATAGAGTTCAAGGCCACGTTTATAAGGTTTTTCAAGAATTTTATGGAAACCGCCGATAAATTTAATGAGTCCCTCAATAAGTATAGTGAGACCATGGAGGACATGAAAAAGGACCAACTAGAAATTAAGCATACACTGACTGAAATAAAGAATAATATACGGAGATCCAACAGCAGACAAGAGGATCCCAAAAATCAAGTCAAAGATTTGAAATACAAAGAAACAAAAAATACCCAACTGAAAAAGAAAAAAGAAAAGAGATTCCAAAAATATGAAGATAGTGTAAGGAGCCTCTGGGACAACTTCAAGCATACCAACATCAGAATTATAGGGGTACCAGAAGAAGGGAGAGGGCAAGATATTGAAAACCTATTTGAAGAAATAATGACAGAAAACTTCCCCCACCTGGTGAAAGAAATAGACTTCCAAGTCCAGGAAGCGCAGAGAACCCCAAACAAAAGGAATCCAAAGAGGACCACACCAAGACACATCATAATTAAAATGCCAAGAGCAAAAGACAAAGAGAGAATCTTAAAAGCAGCAAGAGAAAGACAGTCAGTTACCTACAAGGGAGTACCCATACGACTGTCAGCGGATTTCTCAACAGAAACCATGCAGGCCAGAAGGGAGTGGCAAGAAATATTCAAAGTGATGAATAGCATGAACCTGCAACCAAGATTACTTTATCCAGCAAAGCTATCATTCAGAATAGAAGGTCAGAGAAAGAGCTTCATGGATAAGAAAAAGCTAAAGGAGTTCATCACCACCAAACCAGCATTATATGAAATGCTGAAAGGTATTCTTTAAGAAGAGGAAGAAGAAAAAGAAACTCTTACCATTTGCCACAGCATTGATGGAACTGGAGAGCGGATAAATACCCCATGATCTCACTCATTTGTGGAATATAATGAACAACATAAACTGATGAACAAGGACTGATCCAGAGATGGAGAGGCATTGATTGGACTGTCGGAATTTGGAGGGAGGGTAGGGGAGGGTGGGGGTAAGGGGGAAAGATCAACCAAAGGACTTACATGCAGGCATATAGGCCTAACCAATGGATACGGACAACGGGGGGTGGGGGGGGGGGGGGGGGGTGAGGGCATGAGCAGGGGGTGGTAGAGGGTAACGTGGGGACAAGGACACATATGTAATATCTTAATCAATAAAAATATATTAAAAAAAAGAAATTAAAGGTTAATTCTGCAACTAATGAAGTAAAAAAAAAAAAACCAGTAGAAATGACAAAAAATTTTAAAGGATTCTTTCAGAGGGAAGCGGTGTAAAGTAGATAAATCCTGGCAAGTCTCACTCAGGAAAAGAGTAAAAAGCACGATTGGGAATAAGTGAGGAGACATAACCACAGAATCAGGAAATGTTTACGAATCCTTTCAAAAATAGCCCCCTGTGCCCCTCGCGGCCCTCGGCCCCTCTCGGGACTCCCGGAGCCACCTGTGGGCGGGGCCCTGTCTCTGAGTCTGTTTCCAGTGAACCCCGCAAAGTTGTTGACCAATTAGAGCCATAAAAATAGCACCTGCCGCTCTGCGGTGACAAGTCGATTCTTGAGAGGTGATGACTCAGGGCCCCCGCCCAGGTCACGCAGCCCCTTCTGCATGACTGTTCTGTTTACATCCCACTGGCAAACCCAGACTGGCGTCTGGAAGGGCCTGGGGGTGTGTGCACATCGGCGAGACCGAAAGCGCCCAGAACCTCCGCTTCCAGCGCCCGGGGGCGTCGTGGCTTTGGTCGAAACGGCGTCGGCGTCTTTTTACTGATGCGACTCCCACAGCTCTTCTAACCGGAGAACCAGGTCAGTAGTCAAACCCCCTCTGGAGAGACACTGCCAGCCCCCCTGCTGGTCCCTATCAGTTTCCAGGCACCGCAAAGTCCCGCCTTTCACCCTTTTGAAACAGAAGCAACCTGAGACCGTGCAGCTGCTACTCCTGTGCATGCGCTGAATGTGCAAAGTGCGGCCCTCTAGGTCTCAGAAGCTTCATGCTCCTGCGTCTTCTCACTGGCTGGCCACTTTCACTCCCCTACTCACCCTTACTCACCAGAGCTCTCTGATATTGCGGGCTAGGAGCTAACCGCCGAGATACTGAGATGAAGAGGCCCGAGACCCTGCTCTCAAATGGCTGGTGGGGGAGGCAGACAGCCAACATTCCTAATGTTCCAGTATGAACGATGTGTTTATCTCCTGAAGGTAGAGACCTGTGGCTGCCTTGTTCACTGCTGTAGACGGAAGCCAGGTGTGCAGAACGGTGCCTGGCGCATAGTAGGTGTTCAGTAAGTATTTGTTGGTGGGTGAATGCACGCCTATATGCATGAATATGTAACCAGATGCTTCGAGAGTAATGCTTCATTTTGGAGCTTGAGCTACGGGGTAGTGTTAGGAAGAGCAAAGACTGGAGGTTGAGGTGAGGATTGGGGGAGGAATTTGGGGAAGTCGAGATGTCTCTTTAGGATGTTTCAAGTAGGCAATTAGATACTCTGGCCCAGAGCCCGGGAGAGAGGTGGAGATGCTGATGGGAATGTGAGGTTCATCGCATTTATTTACAGCTGCAGAAGGAGTGGTTGCCAAGGGCGTGGCTGGGAGGGTCCAAAGACCAGCTCAGCGGGAACGTTGCTAAGAGGTGACCCTGCGCATCGGACGCCACGTGATGGACTTGGCAGCAGGGATGGTGACATCAGAGCCCCGAGGCAGCACACAGGGTGGAAACCTGGTTGGAGGACACGGCCGCGGGGGTAGGGGGAGAAGCGAGCGAGTCAGGGAGGGTGGGCGTGCCCATCAGAAGCTCGATGGGGGACAGAATGCAGGGATGGGGTGCCTGCGGGCCGATGATGGGGTCAAGGGAGGACAGTTGATGTTTTTTAACACAGGAGGGTGAGGAGAAACTGAGGCTGTACAAAGAGGCGATTGCTGGAAAAACATCCCTGAGCAGGCGGGAAGGAGGAAATGAGCCAGGCCCCCTGTCCCTGGGCATCACCAACTGTGTCTGCTCTCTCCCTGTGGGACGCTGGGCAAGTTACAGGGACGTTCTGGGCTCCGTTCTTACATCTCCAGACGGGTCCCCAGGCCCCAGGTGACGTGTGTTGCAGCGGGTTCCTCCTGGGCTGGGTAGGTCCCTGGGCTGAGCAGGCTCCAGCAGGGGAGGCCGTTCTCATGTCCGACACCTGCTTGTGATGGCTCTGGGCTGTCCCCAGGGAGGCCACCAGGCTCCCCCGCCCGCCGTGCTCCAGGGTTCACACCCAGGCTGGCTGGGCCCTGCAGGCTCCGTCCAGATCTCTGGGCTGGACTGTTGTGAGGGGAAAACGAAAGTTTAGAATCTGAGGGGCTGCCAGGCGGGGTCAAAGGGGCTCTTGGAATGAGATGGGCCTGGATTTGATCTTGGCGCTGCCGGTCCTGGCGTGGGGCCTGTGAGCAAGCACTGCGTTTCCTCTCTAGGCCTTAGTTTTCTCATCTGCAAAATCGTCACCATTGGTTGCTATGAGGGTTAAACGAGGTGCTAGCTACGGAATCCTTCCTTCTTCCTCCTTCCCGCCCTCCTCCCCTCCCTCCTTCTTCCCCCTTTGCTTTCTTCCTCTTGCAGAAGCCAGTTCTGCTGCTGGAGTCTCCCTCTTCGTGGGTCACATTATCTGGGTGGGGCCTGGGCCCCTGGGGTTCTGATGAGGCAGCCACAGCCTCGGCCCCACCCACCGGAGGCGGGGCTTGTGGGGCCACAGGATCCCCACTGCCTGCTTATCTTTCTCGCCTTCTGCCCTCCCGCCTGGGCCCAGTATCAGCATTTGCCCGGGACTCCACACAGTACAAAGGAGGGGGGCACTGAAGACTTGGGGGGCTGGGCCAGGTAACAGGTGCATTGTGGGTCCAGAGATGGCTGGGGGCTTGCCCGAGCCTGCACAGCAGCAGGAGGGCAGATTGGAGACAGCTTGTCATGAGTCCCCTGTGGGGCCTTCAGCCCGCGTGGCAGTGGCCAGAGCTGCCTGGGGAGTAAAAAGGGCGAGGATGCCAAGGACACCGCCCAGGGCGGCTCCTGGGTGCCCGAGGTTAGCGCTGGGCCCAGTCTGTGACTCAGGGGACCTGCGTGGGTCCCGCAGGCATCTTCCAATTTGCTTCCCAGAGGCACGCAGACTGGGGTTGAATCCTGGCTGTGTTTCTTAGTAGCTGTGTGAGCTAAGGTAAGTCATTAGCACTCTGGAGCTTCAGTTTCCCCAGCTGTGAAATGGGGATGTTAGTAACGTTTAAGCCCTTTGATTAGGAGGATTTAAAATGCAAACAACATCAAGTCATTCCCCTGCTCAGAGCCCTGCAGAGGTGCCTCCTGCATTTGTAAGAAAGTCCTCTCTTTGCACCCACAAAGCCCACAGGGCTCTCTCTCTCTCTCCTGATTTTCTCTTCTCCGGCCACTTGGGGGTCCCCCTGCTCCTCCATCTCACTGAGCTCATTCCCACTTCAGGACGTGTGCCCGTGCTGGGCCCCCTGGCTGGCATTCCCACCACTGTTCCGTCAGCTCCCCTCCTCACTGTCTCACACTCCTGCTGTTTACTCCTCAGCACTGAACACTCTCTGAAAGAACCATACTATTTGTTTACCTGTCCCTCATCTGCCCCTGAAATTAGAGCTCCACAAACACGGGCTAGATCTTTTAGTTTTTGGCTCTTCCCAGTACCTAGCACATAGTAGGTGCACTACAAATATTAGCTACTGTACTGGTAAGTTTTTCTACAATGATTTCTGGGACCTCAAGGTACTTAGAGCTCTGTGGGTGAATGGTGAGATAGGGGCCACCCTTTAGTGGCTGGTTTCTCGCGCATCCATTATTTCATTTATTCATTCAGAACCATGTCCCTGAGGACCTACTATGTGGCAGGCTATGGGCTGGGTGCTGGGAATGAGGCTGTGAGGTGGGTTGGCGGGTTTCATGCCAGCTTTCATGGAAAGGACGAGTTGGCCCTCAACCCTAAACCTTCCATGGCTCCCTCTCGCCCCCGCCAAAGTCCACACTCCTTATCTAAGCATGCCCGCTCACTCTAATCTGGGTCCAGCCGGCCTTTCTAGAAGGACCTCTCAGGGCACCGATGGCCCCTGCTGCCACCTCTGTACTGTTTTCCACTCCAGGGGCCTGCTCTTTCCCACCCTAACCCGTGGCCGAGCATGTACACGTGTTTGCAGGAACACACAAGGTCGCACTCCTGCCTCCTGGCCCTTCCAGGCCCTTTCATATTCCAATTGTCCTCCCAGCTCCCAAGAGCTTTCCCAGTTCTGTCATCAGATGGGCCCTAAGCCTGTCAACCAATCTTTGTGTGAATTTTCTGTCAGGACCATACACCTACCCCATGGCTAGTAGGGATGATCCTGTCCCTGTTTCACCAAAAGGCACCAAGGCACAGAGAGGGTTAGTAACTTGCCCAAGGATACACAGCTGGCACAGGGGACTCAAACCCAGCAGACTGAGCCCAGGTGCAGACTTCATGTCCCTGACCTGCGTCTTAGCTATTAGCTGGGCCTTCCCACCAACCCTCATGTCATCAGCCTGTGGGGAGCACGCCCTCACACTTCCTGCCTGCCCTCCTGCGGCTGCCCCCCAAAGTCTGCCCGTTCTATAACCACAGGCCCGAGCCCCATGCTGGGTGCTTTACTCTCCTCCCTGTGGAAGGCTCCTCATGATCCCTGATGGGGAAACTGAGGCACAGAGCAGGGAGATCAGACCTGCCCCCAAGCTGGAAAGCAGGGGGTCTGAGTCAAACACAGGCTGTCTGAACCAGAAGCCCACGCCATGCTCCCCTGCTGGCCTTCATGCTTAGTGCTGCCGCAGCCGGCCACAGCCCCCCGCCCCATAGGGGGCCCGCCGCAGCCGCAGCGGACCACAGCTGGCTCCATGGCCGACCACCACAGCTGAGCACCGGTTGCCAAGCGCCTGCTGGATGGCCCCTGGTTCCCACTGCTCTCCCACGTGGCCTCACGCTAGCCGGTCAGCTCAGTCCTGTTTCCCACTGCACTTCGGAGATGAGAACTGAAGCTCGAAGAGTGGGATGACGTGGCCAAGGCCACCCCGCTGTGGAGGAGTGGGGAGGGTTTAAAACGGGGCCGTGGGACCTCAAAGCCCCGGCCCAGCTGCTCTGCACATCCAAGCGGCCAGGCTGCCTGCGTTTCTCTCCCTCACCCGGGGAAACACCTCTCCTGGGAAGCTCCAGGTGGTCAGTCACTCCAGCCAGCGCTTCCCGGGGGCTGACAAGAGGGAGCTGCCCTTCCCATCGGCTGTCAATGGGCCTTTATGGGCCAGGCCTAGCCCAGCCCCTGTCCACCCCCTGTGGGCTCCTGGTGACTCGTGGGCTCTCAGCCAGCCGCTGTGCGTGGCCTGGGAACCCGCCACCCCAGTGAACAGGGCCTGCCCGACAGGTCTGCTCTAAGGCAGGCTCTGGAGGTGAGCAGCCCCCGGGCCTTTGCACTTGCTACTCCCTCGGCCAGGAAACACCTTGCCTCAGTTTCTCCCACAACCAGTCCCTTCTCATCCTTCCAGTCCCCACTCCATGTCCCCACTTCAAAGAGGCCCTTCCTGGCCTGGCTCACTAGAACGTGAGCTCCAAGAGGGCAGAGCTTTTCTGTTGTGTGTGGGAGACCAACAATAAAGAGGCTAACATTTCAACAAGATCCTTTCTGCTAGAGCAGTGGTTCTCAGCCTTCCCAATGCCGCGACCCTTAAATACAGTTCCTCATGTGGTGGTGACCCCCAATTTCATTGTTACAAACTGAACATAATGAAAGCATAGTGATTTATCTCAAAAACAATATGTAACTATATATGTGTTTTCCGATGGTCTTAGGAGACCCCTGTGAAAGGGTCATTCGACCCCCAAAGGGGTCGCGACCCACAGGTTGAGAACCGCTGTGCTAGTGGCATGCGCTGTGAAAATAACGGGGTAGAGGGTGTTTGGGACGGAGGCCTCTGTGAGGCTGTGGTATTTGAGCAGAGACTTGGGTGAACAGAGGAGCTATGCCAGTATCTATGGGGAAGAGAGTTCTAGGCAAAGGGAACAGCAAGAGCAAAGGTCCCGAGGCAGGAATATGCGAGGAGACCAGTGTGTCCGGCACAGAGTAAGGGAGTGAAGATTGGGGCCGCTGAGGTCAAGGAGGTGAGATTGGCAGGGTTGGAGGGTGGGTGGAGTGGAGGGGTAGCTCAGGTAGGGCTTTCTAGGGCATGGGAAACCTTTGGCTTCTCCTCTGAATGACAAGCGCTCCAAGGGACATGATCTGAGGGAGGTTTCCACGGGATCCTTCAGGCTGCCTTGGTGGAGAACGGACTGTAGTCTATATGGGGGCAAAAATGGAAGAAGGGAATTTATTTACCCAACGAAACGGAGTCCCTCCTGCGTCCCAGGCACGATCCTGGTGCTGGAAACAGAGCAGTGAGCAACTTCGACAAGAATCTCTGCTCACAGGGAGCTTGAGTTGGGAGCCGGAAGATGGTGACAGCATGGAGCCAATACAGGCAGGAAAGCTGGTTCGGACAGCCTGTGTTTGAATCGGACCTCCTGCTTTCTAGCTGGGGGCAGGTGTCAGGGTTCGAGTATGCACCCGTGTGTGCATCATTCACATTGTGGGTGTCCTTTGTCCAGGCCTGGGGGCTCCTGGAGGGGACAGCGGCCTTGCCGTAGCTGGATCCCAGGCCCCACTGGGGTTTGGCACCAAAACAGACTCCTATCTCATTCTACATATGGGGACATGGAGGCTCAAGAGTGCCATGGAGACTTGCCCAAGGTCATACAGCTAACAAGTGGGAAAACTTGGGTTGCACCTAGGGCTCCTTCCCCCCCCCCCCCCCCCCCCCCCCCCCCCCCCCCGCCGTGCAGTGGATGAACTTGACTTTTGACATTCAACTGTCTTGAAGGCTCTGGGGGCCTGCTCTGCCTGGGTGTGATCCCTGCTGGTACTCGGTCCTCTGGGCTGTGAGCCTGGAGGGGAGCAAACTGGGGCGCACAGTGGGTGCTCAGTAAATGAACGCGGTTAAGCAGGCACCAGGGCAGGGCCTGTGACTGCTCCTGGGAGATTTTTCTCTCCAGTGGATTACTTGGTGATGTCTGAAGACAGTTTTGGTTGTCATGCAGAGGGATAGGGGTGTGATGCTGACACGGAGTGAAGGGAGGCCGGAGATGCTGCCAAACGACCTGCAATGCCCAGGACAGCCGGGACCACGGAGAAGGATCCTGCCCATCTGCTAGCTGAGATCCTGGCCCGGAGGCCCACGTCCCGGGCGAATCGCCTCGGGTCGTCCCGCTGTGCGCTGGCGCCACATGGTGGCTGCACGAGACACTGCAGCAGCCCTCGAAGGAGCCACGACTTCAGAAATGACCCCTCCAGTATTCTCGCAATAATACCAACCACAGCGATCGCCCGCCGCCTGGCGCAGGGCTCACTGTGTGCCAGGTCAAAGCGAGATGTCTTACTTGGGATAAATCCAAATGCCACATCCACACTAACAGGCAACTAAGAATGGACGCACCTGAAATTGAACTGATGCTCTCCCACCCCGCAACTCCCAGCCTGTTCCACCCTCCCAGATGCCCAATGTTCACCCCCTGCTCAGAACTCCTCCCCCCACCCCACCCCATGGCTCAGTGAAAGCAAAAGTACCTAAATGGCCCGCAAGGATTGAAACACACTCCAGCCCTCCTTCTCTCTCTGCACTCTATTTTTTATATCCAGCAAGACACCACGTGACATACTTTACTCATTTATCTTGCTTATTATCCATCTTCTCCATGTGAACAGCTCCCTGAGGGCAGGAGCTGTGTCTGTTTGGTCACTGCTCTCTTCCCAGCATCCAACACTGTGCCTGGCACACAATAGGTGTTCAATTGGTTGAATAAATGGATGGATGATCCATACAACACCCCCAGCTCCCACTAGAATTTTGTGGATTCTAGCCTCACCTCCACCACCAAGGCTGCTCAACATTGGACTGGTTAGTTAACCTCTCTTGGCCTCAGCTTCCTAACAGGAATTAAAAATAGTACCACCTCCTTGTGCTCTGAGAGCATTAAATGTGTTAATACACGTGTTTAGAATAGTATGTCATGCCTAATAGGGGCTCAATAGGGTCCGTGCCTTACCTCAGTCATCTTTCTCAGCCTTCTTCCTCCTGCCCACCCTCCTCCACTTCTTAAGCCCCTGACTCGTGTCTCAGTCATCTTCTTTAGTCTTTTGCACTTAGTAGGTGCTTATTAAATGCTGGCATTGCAGGAAGGACATTGATGGTTGAGGAGTGCTTCCTGTTCTCTACATGTTGTGAGTCAGACTCTCCTACCCCAGTTTACTGGTGATGAAACCCAGGTTTCCACTGGCAGAGGCAGGACCTGCCCCTCCAAGCTAGCCAGGTGACTTCCTTCCAGCCCGCTCTGGCGGCAGAGGGTCAGGAGCAGGTGAGAGCAGAGGGGTGGGCTGTCATTCTGCAGAATGACCAGCAGGCGGCAGCAGAGATCTAGGACGACTCTGTCTCAGGAAACCTGGGTCTGCACAGTCCTGAGGGTGAACACCTTAAATTTTGCAGGCTGGGCACCTCACATGCTTCACCCTAGTCCAGACCCTGGTCTGGGAGGTCCCACCCTACCAGGAGATGCCTTTCTCCTGCCCTGGCTCAAACACAATGCTGTCCTGGGCTCTGTGCTAAGGACTTGCCACGTGTTAGCTCATTTAATCTGCACAACAACCAGAACAAGGCAGGTGCTGTTATTGCCTCATTAGTCAGAGATGGTAGCTGAGGGTACATTGCATGTTGGGTGTATGGAGGCAGACCTCATGCCTTTGGATTCTCTGCCATGACTGTATTACACATTTGCATGGTCTCCTTGGGGCGGGGGGGGGGGGGGGGGGAAGGAGGGCGGGGGGGGGCGGGGGGGGGGTCCAAAGAAAGGGAGGCAAACATTTGTGCCTAGGAGGGTGGAGTGCAGTAGAGCATAATGGTCTGTTTAAAATATTCATGGCACAGAACCTAGACACAGAACCTAGAGACAGAACATGGAAAAAGATCCTGGACAGAAACTGGCCACAGAACCTAGAGACAGAATCTAGCGAGAGAACCTGGCTGAAGAACCTAGAGACAGAACCTGGCTACAGAACCTGGATAGAACATGGCAAGAGAACCTGACTAGAACCTGGTGACTGAACCTGGCTGGAGAACCTGGACAGAACCTGGCTGGAGAACCTAGCGAGGGAACATGGCTACAGAACCTGGCGAACCTGGCTGGAGAACCTAGCAAGAGAACATGGACACAGAACCTGGCTGGAGATCCTGACCAGAACTTGGCTGGAGATCCTGGCTAGGCTACTGATCAACTGAACGCTGTCTCCGTGTCATTCCTTCTTCGCCGACTCCGTCCACACCTTTGGGGACCCCTGGGCCTCTTGGGGTTGGACCCCAGCAGATTCTCTCTCATCATTGATGTTTCTATTTCTCTCTCCCTCTACCTTTCTCTCTGAAACCAATAAAAATATATTTAAAAAACAAAACAAAATAAATAATAAAATAAAATAAAATATTCATGGATGTTTCATATCAGAGAATCAGACAAGAGCCGAGAACTGGGAGGCTGGGGGAGCCCAGAGAGGTGAAGTTTGACCCAGCCTCAGGGGGATGTGAGGAGCCCACCTGCTTTCTCAGGGAGGAACAACAGTTACCCTGGTGGAAGCAGGGAGGCATTTCAGGCTGAAGGGACAGTGTGTGCAAAGGCCCTGGGGTGGCCCAAGGCTGAGCTGGCTAAAACGGCATCAATAAGAGGGGAAAGCAGGAGAGGCAGAGAGATGTGAGCTCAATTTGAGACTTAGAGGCAGGGGCTGACTACTGGGGTCAGACAACAGGACACACAGGGTGCATGGGGTCCCCGAAGATGGCCTTCCACCTTCCAGGGGAAGCTCCACGCGGTCAGTGTCCTCCTTGGAGGTGGGACAACTTGCCCAGACAGCCAGCAAGTGGCAGGCTGGGATTTGAACCTGGAACCTCCATGCTTTGCTGTTGTTGTTTTTTGTTTGTTTGTTGTTGTTTTTTAAATATTTACAGAGAGGAAGGGAGAGGGATAGAGTTAGAAACGTCGATGAGAGAGAAACATCTATCAGCTGCCTCCTGCACACTCCCCACTGGGGATGTGCCCGCTACCAAGGCACATGCCCTTGACCGGAATCGAACCCGGGACCCTTGAGTCCGCAGGCAGATGCTCTATCCACTGAGCCAAACCGGTTCGGGCCTTTGCTGCTTTTTGAGGCAATGCCATGAACTCAGGAGATATGCTCCAGGCGTTCTGGCTGAATGAATGAGTTTCCCGAGTCTTCGTGTGCTGGGCACTGTGTGTCTTACCAAATCCTCAGTAGTAACTGTATGAGGAGGGAAGTGCTACTAGTTGCCTTTCTTTTACAGATAAAGAACCAACACTCAGAGAGGACAACTGACTTGCCCAAGATCAAAACCAGGATTCAAACCCAGGCCCTCGGGCTCTGGAGTCTGCCCTCTTACCTGTGGCACCCGCGTCTCCCAGACCGCAGTCGGCTCTGAGTCCCGTGGTACCCGTGTTCTGCCTTCCTTGGTCTATATTTTAAATGGACTCGCACCCACCTTTTTATTTTAACTAAACCTGTTCTGTACAAAGGCAACTATCCTGCATCATTAGCAGGAATGGAAAACCTCTATCATTTATCATGAATAGAAGAACAGGATGAAAAGAAATACAATAAGGGCTGAGCAACATCACTGCATTTTTGCCGGGTGCGGTTGCTCGCCCAGTGGAAACGGGGGCTGCTGGAACCTTGTTAAAAGGAGCATGAGAGCGAGTTAGCCAGGTGATGAGGGGGATGCTGGCAGCAGGGCGCTTGTTTCCTTGAGATGCTCAGAGCCCCTGCAAGAAAATCCCTGTAGGGAAAATGCCTCTGCGATCCGATGTCCTATGTGACTTAGAACAGCCCTCCGTGGCCGGGCAAGCCCCTCGACCCCAGGCCAAATCCTCCCCGGCTCATCCAGACCCGCCCTGGCCCTGCATCCAGACCCCATCCTTGCCCAGGTGGGACCGGCGGTGCTGGGAGCAGAGCCCGACTCCCTTCTCGCCCTCTGCTCCTCCCTGGCAGGGCCCTCAAGGCAGGGTATACAGCTGGCGCTCAGCCTGGCCTCCAGAGCCTGGGCTGCAGAGACTCAGTGTTCAGTCTTATTTTTTATTTCGTTTGTTTTTAATAGAAAAATGTTCCCTGCACCACCAACTCTTTCCTGGGCAGGGTTTGGAAACCATTTCCAGATGGGAAATAATTTTAGGGGAGAGGAACAGCTAAAATTATGGCCCATTCTGCCGCCAGCTCCCAGGCCGCAGCCCTGGAACTGCCCCGAGGTGGGGTGGGCCGGCCTGCGTCCGGGAGAGAAGCCAGGATGGGCTGTTGAGACTGGATGTCTCGCCTGGCTGAGCCGTGGCCAGGCCATGTGGGCACCTGCCAACGGTGCGGGCTACTATTTGGGGGCTGCCCTCCCGTGCCAGGCTCTCCTCTCACATCCCCATTCCTCATCACGATCCCCGATCGAGGCTTTGCACCCAGCTGCCATTTTGCAGGAAATGCCCAGGACCTACCGCAGAGCTGCAGTTGGCACAAGCCGGCCGGGTGCCCATTGTTCTGGTCAGGCGGCCCAGCTTGTGCAACAGATAAGCTCTAAGGGAAAGGAAGGGGTGGGAGGGAAAACCAAAATACAAGACTTAACAAATATCAAGTGACTTCACCTCTCTGTGCCTTCGTGTTCTTATCTGTGACGTGGGGATGACAACACTAATCTAGGGGATTCAGTGAGTTAACTTGTGTAAAGCACTTGGCTTCTTGTAAGTGCTACCACGTGCTGGCCACTGTTACTACTATGCTTATTGTTAGTGTCATCATCATCATCATCATCATCGTCATCATCATCCTCTCTCTCTCTCAGCAGTGAAGCCAGACTCCAGACCTCCATGTATAGCTGGAGTTTAACTCTTGACACGGAGTATATTATCCGTTAATCATGCTCTGACCTCGGGAGTCCCAGCCCCTAATATCGGAGACCCTGGTACCCACTCCTGGTGCCCCAGGACCCCTATCCCTGAGTTTCTCACCCTGACCCCAGTCTCCCCTGTCCGGACCCCCACACTAGCCTTGACCTGGCCAGGACAGACACCTGGGCCCAGTGTGGGCTTGGAGAAGGACAAGTCCATCTTGTGTCACCTCCTCCCTCTGTCTGAGCACCTGCCTCTAATACTCCTCTCCTGAAACGGGCCACTTCCCTGTCCCCACGGCCTGCCCAGGTCGCTGTCTCCGCTCACCTTTATAATTACACCGGCCTCTTTGCTCGTCTCTGACTTAACAACAAAGAGGTTTCTTGTTAAATTTCAAGTCATGCAGCCCTATCATACAAGTTGAACAATACAAACGCCTGTCAAAATGTAAGATTATTTATTCAATCATTTATGAAGCTGTTAATAGTAGTAGTTTCATTTAATTGTTTAAATGTTGTGATAAATGAACATTGTTTTTCTATTTTTAAAATATATTTATTGATTTCAGACAGGAAGGGAGAGGGAGAGAGATAGAGACATTAATGATGAGAACCTTTGATCAGCTGCTCCTGCACACCCCCTACCGGGGATCAAGCCTGAAACCTGAGCATGTGCACTGACCGGGAATCGAACTGTGACCTCCTGGTTCTCAGATCAATACTCAACCACTAAGCCACACCAGCTGGGCACTTTTCTATTTTTAAAAATTATATTAAAAGTTATATATTTTTAAACACATAGGTAAGACATGTAAATGGTAAAAAATTCAAATGGCACAAGAAGGTATGCAGTGAAAATGAAGTCTTTTCCCCACCCTTGACCCCCACACTTCCAAATTCATGTTCCCAAGAAGCCTGGTCTCCATTTCCTGTGAGCTCTTCCAGAAGAAGTCTGTACATCTGCAAATACACGTGACCACAGACACTCTTGACTTACACAAACAGAAGCAAAATACACCCATGCCTTGCATCTTGCCTTTTTTCACTTGCCATACCTTGTTGATCTTCTTAACCCATCATGTACAGGGCTGCATCACCCTTTTTCACAGCTGCATAGTATTCCACTCATGTAGTTTGATCCTGTTTTACTTAGTCATTCCTTTATGTTGGATCTTCAGGTTAATTCCAACTTTTGCTATTAGCAAATGGTACTGGAGTAGTTGTCTTTCACTTTAATATCTGTGTGTGTGTGTGTGTGTGTGTGTGTGTGTGAATCAGATTTTTTGGAGACTTGTGCATGTTGCTTTTTAATTGTATGATCAAATTGCACTATGAGGTTGTACCACGTTATTCTCCACCAACAATGTGTGAGAGTGCCTATATCCCCACAACTTTACTTACGCTGTGTGTTGTGAACTTTGGGTTTTTTGGTCACTCTAATAAATGAAAGCAGGTATCTTGGTATAGTTTAAACTTCTCTTTTAAATTGAGGGTGAAAAAGACACTTTTTGTTTGTTGAGCTAAACATGCTCTCATTGGCTTATGTCAACGACCTCCATTGTTTTGTTTTATTATATTACTAGAGGCCCGGTGCATGAAATTTGTGCACTGGGCAGGGGGGTGTCCCTGAGCCCAGCCTGCACCCTCTCCAATCTGGGACCCCTCGGGATCGGGCCTAAACCAGCAGTCAGACATCCCTCTCACAATCTGAGATTGCTGGCTCCCAACCACTCACCTGCCTGCCTGCCTGATTGCCCCTAACTGCTTCTGCCTGCCAGCCTGATCACCCCCTAACCACTCCCCTGCCAGCCTGATCACCCCCTAACTGCTTCCCTGCCAACCTGATCACCTTCTAA